AGCTAGAAAATATGCATGTTGCCGTATTCACACAAAATGGTGGCATATCTAGAGGATAGTGTGTAGTGCAGTCTTCTGGTACGCAAAGTAGGAATGCCAAGAATCATAACAACTGAAAAGGGCTAGGGTGAGGTTGCCATTTTCATTACTCCAAGATCAGACTAACCTTACCTCTTTTTTGAAAAAGTTACTACCTTGCTGGATCAGGGCAAAGCTGGAGACATAGTTTATCATGATTTTGATAAGGTTCCGCATAATATTCTTGTTGACAAGTTGGTAAAATGTGGTTTGGTGGTTTGATTACTGTTAGGTGGATCATCCTGTTAGAGAAGAGTGACAAGTGGAGTACCTCAAGGATCTGTCCTGGGAACATCTTTATCATTGATTTGGACGAAGGGATAGGGGGAATGCTTATTACATTTGCAGATGATACTAAATTGGGAGGGGTAGCAAATATGGAAGAAGACAGAGTCAGGATACAGGATGATCTTGACAGGCGGAAAACTGGGCTAAAACAAATAAAATTAATATCAATGGAGATAAATGTAAAGTTCTGCATTTATGTAGGAAAAATCAATTGCATAATTATATGATGGGGGAGACTTGTCTTGGTAGTAGCATGTGCAAAAAGGATCTAGGGGTCTTAGTAGACGATACACTAAACATGAGTTGGCAGTGTGATGTGGTAGCTAAAAAGGCAAATGCCATTTTGGGCTGTATCTACAGAGGTATAGTGTCCAGATCATGTGAAGTGATGGTATCGCTTTGCTCTGGTTAGACCTCACCTAGAGTATTGTGTTCAGTTTTGGGCACCACAATTTAAGAAGGATTTAGAGAAGCTGGAACGTGGCCAGAGGAGGGCAACAAAGATGGTGAGGGGTCTGGAGACCAAGTCCTATGAGGAAAGGCTGAAGGAGCTGGGTATGTTTAACCTGGAGAGGAAATGACTGAGAGGTGATATGATAACCATCTTCAAGTACTTGAAGGGCTGTTATATGGAGTGGAGTTATTTTCGAGCGGTTCCTCGGTGGAACAGGCTTCCTCGGGAGGTGGTGGGCTCTCCTTCTTTGGATGTTTTTAAGGAGAGGCTAGATGGCCATCTGACAGCAATGCTGATTCTGTGAACTTGGGCAGATCACGAGACGGGAGGGCAGGAAGGGTTGCCTCAGTGCTTAGTTCTCGTGGCCCTTTCTTACATGCCCAGGGAAATGCTGATTGCCACTTTGGGTTCAGGAAGCAATTTTTCTCTAGGCCAGTTTGGCCGGGGATCCTGGAGGATTTTTCATCTTCTGGGCATGGAACGGGAGTCACTGGGGTGGGTGGGGGAAGTAGTTGTGAATTTTGTGCATTGTGCAGGGGGTTGGACTAGATGACCCTGGAGATCCCTTCCAGCTCTATGATTCCATCTGGTTCTATCTATAGCTCTTGTTAGCCTGCAAGCCTATGGTGTTTTTATGGACTGTGTTACACTGTTACCTGATGAAGTGCGCTGGCAACGGACTGTGCTTGAAACTGACATGCTGAGAACGCCCGGTGAGGGTACCTACCGAAGACTGTGTTCTTACAATGTTTGCTACTCCAAAGGTGTTCCCGTGTCTATTGCACGCCATAGATCAACGCACGTGGTCGCAGAAAGCACAAAACGCCATTTCAAACCAGCCACATGGCTGCCTACACCAAGAGCCCCTTCCCCCTCCCCCGCATCTATGAAGCTACACGCACTCACAACGACCCTGCATTCAACCTGGCCGCATGGACATGAGTCACCCATCTGCATACGAATATCCCTCACCCAGGTATCTTGATTGAGTTAGCAACTAGTTTTCAAAACGCCCTCCAGTTTCCTGGAACACCCAGAAAATGTACAGTAGCCAATCGTTAACCTCTTGGCTATGACAGAACCAGAGTGTCATAGGGGAGGGCATTTGGACCCAGCTCCTCTTCTAGGCCCCTTTGATATAATCAGGAGCGCACCCATAGCTAGCTCTCTTACTTCTGGACTCTTCAACCCCCCCTTCGCACCCTAACTACGTCCTCTACAGAACCTACTTCCCCCCTCAAGTCCAGCTTGCTATCCCGTACCCTCCCCATCCTTCTTTACGCTCTAGAATTGCGCAGCTAGAGTCTTTTTGGCACGTGGTCTTGGCTGGCCTGAGTCCCTTCGCCATTCTCTTCTAACTTTCTCCCCACCATTACCCCTTCACTGGAAGTTTGGAGCCACGCAGTTGCAGCTAGGTAATTATTACCCAGAGCATCAACCATCATTTTCCTGCAAATATAACTGTGCTGTATTTAATCTACCTTAATTCCTTAGTCTCGTGTGCATGTGAATGTTGTGTGTAATTGAGTGAATTGTACCAGTAAACTATTGTTATTATTAAGGAAGTCTGCCTCAGTCGTTCATTGGGAGCCTCGGAAACAGTGCCATCCTCCGTAAACATAGACGGATGTATCCCGATAATTATAACTGTACCGATTGTTCCTCTTAAAGAGCAATTCGGCTAACATTAGTTGCTAGTTTTGTGGTACATTCCCCACACTTTGAGGAGATAGGGGATGGGGGACAAGCTAACTTGTCAGCTCCTGTCAGTTGTCAGAGTCCACATTGCCACCGTTACTCCTCCTGTCTTGTCAACCCAGTAAACAAGCAATTTGCCAAACTATATGAGACGTAAAACCGAAACGTGGACTGTGAATGTTGCTACAACTTGGAATGTCATAGATGTTGTCTTCCACCTAGTGGTGAAAACAAACATCTTAACACAGGGAGTTCTTGACACCAAGGCCATAGCAACACTACAAACTTGTGTTGGATTGATACAAGTTTGTGTCATGGTTTTCCTCCTAAAAATCCTCGGAACTGCAGCAATGTGAGACTGCTGAGGATTTTTATTTTAGAGATACCAAGCCAACCCTTACAGTACACTGCAGAGAGGGAATCACTGTTAAACTCACTGAATTCTGTTGTGGAGCCAAACCACAGAGGACTTGAGCAAGTGGGATTTCTCATTAATTTCAGGGAGAGAACATGGCATGCAGTGGCTTCCAGTTTGGTGTCATGGTTAAGAGCATTGGACTCTAATCTGGAGAACTGGGTTTGATTCCCCACTCCTTCACATGCAGCCAACTGGGTGATCTTTGGTCAGTCTCAGTTCTCTCAGAGCTGTTCTCACAAGAGTTTTCTCAGAGCTCTCTCAGCCCCACCTACCTCACAGGGTGTCTGTTGTGGGGAGAAGAAGGGATGGAGATTGTAAGCCACTCTGAGACTTTGAGTGAAAGGTGGGGTATAAATCCAACTCTTCTTCTTCCTCTTCCTCCTCCTCCTCAACCACCGCCTCCTCCATCTTCTCCTTCCTCCTCCTCCTCCTTCCAAACACTTGCACAGGGAATGTGAATTTTCACTCTCTCTTTTTGCTTTCCCTCCTATTTGTATCTGGATACAGAAAACATCATATGTGAAGTAAAGATGACTCTAGCTGGGATGACTATGGCTAGCCTGAAGAAACTTAGATTTTTTAAATGTCGGGACCCATTACAGGCACATTCCTAAATTTCTCATCATGTGACTACCCTATGCTTGCAAATTGTTCAGGTGCTACAGTCATACACACCAGAAGGCTACCACCCAGGCATACATCCTTATGATGCACACAATCACCTTGTTGTGTGAACAATACATATCTTAACCATGCATGTAAAACTCTGGTATGCAAAAACTGTTCACTGGATATTTCAGGGGGGTTCATGCATACATACCAAGGGTGTAGAGGTAAAGGTTCCCTTGCTCGAAAGCCAGTCGAGTCCGACTCTAGGGTTGCGGTGCTCATCTCCGTTTCCAAGCCAAAGAGCCAGCGCTGTCCGAAGACGTTTCCATGGTCATGTGGCCAGCATGACTAAACACCAAGGCGCACGGAACGCTGTTACCTTCCCACCAAAGTGGTACCTCTTTATCTACTTGCAATTTCTTGCTTTCGGACTGCTAGGTTGGCAGGAGCTGGAACTAGAGACGGGAGCTCACTCCATCATGCGGCATACCAGGTCTCGAACTGCTGAACTACTGACCTTCCACAGCCTGCAGTTCAGCGTCTTAACCACTTGAGCCACCGCAGCACCAAGGGTGTACCCTAGTGGTAAATACATGCACTGCCCCTGAATTGGGAGGATTACAGGCCATGTATGCTCCTGTTATGCGCGGTTCATAGGCTTGTGGTATGTACAGCTGTAACATCAGAAAACGGTTACAGTGGAACAATTCCATTGAAAAACATTGGAGTTTGAAGTGATGAAAGTTTAGTTTTGTGACTAAGTCCAAAGTATGACAGTTCTTTCTGATACGAAAGTCAGAAGTCGATGTGGCCATCGACACAATGAACATAAGCGTGTTTTAGATTGTTGGCTTGATTGAAACAGCCTGTGTTCTGTCCTTCTTTGCAAGTCTCTCTTCGTCCCGTGCTTCAGGACTTTACATCTGAACTGTAGGCTACCTGCATTCAATAATGGAAGACTACCTCTGTTCAGGGGCTGCGGTGGCTCAAGTGGTTAAGATGCTGAGCTGCAGACCGGAAGGTCGGTAGTTCAGCAGTTCGAGACCTGAGTGCCATATGACGGCATGAGCTCATGTCTCTGGTCCCTGCTCCTGCCAACCTAGCAGTTCGAACGCAAGCAATTGCAAGTAGATAAATAGGTACCGCTTCGGTGGGAAGGTAACAGCGCTCCGTGCCCCTCGGCATCTAGTCATGCCAGCCACATGACCACGGAAACGTCTTCGGGCAGCGCTGGCTCTTCGGCTTGGAAACAGAGATGAGCACCGCATCCCTAGAGTCGGATTCGACTGGCTTCTGAGCAAGGGAAACCTTTACCGTACCTCCATTCAACAAAATGTAAAAAAGCCACACAGTTCAAACATCATATACAGAGATTCTGGTGGGTCGCCATGTTGGTCTTAAGTAACAGAACAAAGTTTGAATCCAAAGTTTGAAGCATTTCCTTCCCTTGTTTAGGAAGCCATGAATTGGAACAGATGCAGCTCATTTTGGAAACCATCCCAGTTTACCGAGAAGAGGACAAGGAGGAGCTGCTCAAAGTGATGCCGACGTTTGTCAACAGCACCTGGGAAGTGAAGAAACCTTTGCGGAAATTGCTTCCTGAAGTTGACTCCAAAGGTATTGTGGGTTTTGTGTTCGGTGCGATACTGGGTTTGGTTTCATTGGTGGCAACTGGGGAGGCCGCCTTTTCAGTGGCAGCCATACTTGCCTGCCCACGATGGGCAAACCCCTGCCCTTGACCCCAATCTCCCACCCTTGACAAACTGAGGAGTGGGGAAGGATGGCCAGAAAATGGCCTCGATCGTGACATTTCCACATGAACAAACAAGAATCAGGCCCCTTGGTCCATCAAAGTCAGTATTGTCTACACAGACCGGCAGTGGCTCTCCAAGGTCTCAGGCTGAGGCCTTTCACATCACCTGAGAGCCAGTTTGGTGTAGTGTTTAGGAGCGCAGACTCTAATCTGGGAGAACTGGGTTTGTTTCCCCCACTCCTCCACATGCAGCTGCTGGTGTGACCTTGGGTCAATTACAAGTTGTTTCAGAACTGTTCTCACATGAGCAGTCCTCGAGAGAGCTCTCTCAGCCCCACCTACCTCCCAGGGTGTGTGTTGTGGGGAGGGGGAGGGAAAGGGGATTGTAAGCCACTCTGAGACTCCTTCAGGTAGTTAAAGGCATGGATAAATCCAGTCTCCCCCCTCCTCCTTCTCCTCCTCCTTCTTCCACCTGGTACTTTTAGCTGGAGGTGCCGGGGATTGAACCTGGGACCTTCTGCCTGCAAAGCAGATGCTCTACCGCCGAGCCACAGCCCGGCCCGTGTCTCTTTGTTTCCCTCTCTCTACCATTCCTCCTGTCCTAATCTTAAGAGAACTTATCTACCATGCATGCTGTCATTCCAAATCAGGCACGTCTCTCACATTAAACGTAACAAGACTTGTGCTTTTGAATCGAGGGCAATTATACGGGATAATCATATAGGAGCAGAGCTGAAAGGTTAAGTTGTTTGGTTGCAGCTGTGACTGATGTCATCGAGCATGTAGCCCTTCCTTCTGGGAACAAGGGCAGCTCTTGCTCCCGTCTCGCTGACCTGATTATTTGTCTGCCACTCGCAGCCATTGATTTTCTAGAGAAGATATTGACGTTCAATCCCATGGACCGGCTGACTGCAGAGATCGGCCTGCAGCATCCTTACATGAGCCCGTACTACTGTCCTGAGGACGAGCCGGTTTCACAGCATCCTTTCCGGATAGAGGACGAGATTGACGATATTTTGCTCATGGAAGCCAGCCAAAGCCAGATGTCCAACTGGGACAGGTATTGTATCTGCTGTGTATGGTCCTCATTCAGTACAAACACAGAATGTGAAATGGGTGAAAATTCTAATTTCTGAAAACCTCAAGTTCCATGGGGTGGGGTGGGGTGGGGTGGGGGAACACTTTGCAAATTTATTGGCATTATAACAGCTCAAGGCGCTCTGAACTCCATGACAATGGATAGAAGCGGGAAAGTGTACTGAATGAGATTTTCAGTGCCAGGGCAGGGTTGAAGTGGGCACAACTGCTCACTGACCCTTCATATGAGTTGCAGAACCAGAATTGTGCCCAATAGTAAAGCATGTAACCAGTTTATGTAAAATTCCACCCTGATTGCAAAATCTGTATTACGCCATCTGTACTGGATGCAGAATTGAGTTTTACATAGCATAGAACCTGGATTGCCAAAATGTAACCCCGGTGTCTAATACTGTTGCTAACGATATTGTTTATTTTAGTAGTTGTAGCCAACGTTCCCTCTAAGCTGTGGAGTCTTGTGAGCAAAAGTTCTACTTTGTGAGCTACTGGCATTAAAGTTGTGAGCGAGTGATCTGACTGCTGCGTTAAATTAGTTTGCTCTGGAGCTATCCTTCCTGAGCGAAGACAAAAATTGTGTGAGCCGGAGGCTAAAGATCTGTGAGCTAGCTCACTCTAACTCACCTTAGAGGGAACACTGGTTGTAACTGTAATATATGACCACCAGGGCACGTGGCACTTTAGTAAATGAATACAGTGTGCCTTGGCAAACATAAAGTCTCTGCCCTCATTCAACTTGCAGCCTCCTGACACTGCATTCCGTACTGTTTTGGCAGGACAACCGTAGTGGATGGGATGGGTCAGTGGGGCTGCAGAAATCAGAGGGAGGTGGAAAAGATCTGTTTTTTTTAAAAAGGAGAGCTTCACTTGTGGAATGCCACGCAGGGTAGCTTGGATCCAGACCTGTTATTATTATTAGCCTAGCTGGCCAATGGGAATAGGTGACTTAAGATCTGAAACTTTTCATTATCTCTCTAACATTCTGGGCACGTAGGTATCAAGTGAGTTTGTCCTCCGATCTGGAGTGGCGGCACGAGAAGTGCCCCGATGTGGAGGAGGTGCAGCGGGACCCCCGAGCAGGATCGGAATCCATTGCCGAGGAAGCCCAAGTGGACCCGCGCAAATATTCCCAGAGCAGCTCGGAGAGGTTCCTGGAGCAGTCGCATTCCTCGATGGACCGAGCGTTCGAGGGGGATTACGGACGATCCTGTGATTACAAAGTGGGGTCTCCGTCCTACTTAGACAAGCTTCTGTGGAGAGACAATAAGCTCCACCATTACTCGGAACCCAAGCTTATCTTGGACTTGTCCCACTGGAAAAGAGCCTCGATCGCACCCGCAGAGGAGTTAGCTTTGGAAGAGGAACCATCCAACCTTTTCCTGGAGATAGCGCAGTGGGTGACGAGTACCCAGACGGGACTCGAATGCCCCGACCCCCTTCCAGAGATTCGAGAACGGAGCCTTCCATCTTCTCCTCAGCACCTCCACAAAGAACCCAAGGAGGTCAACAGCGAGAGCGACCCTCAGTTTGACTTGGACGTCTTCATTTCCAGGGCGTTAAAACTTTGCACGAAACCAGAGGATCTGCCGGACAACAAGCTGAAAGATATCAATGGTGCTTGTATAGCAGAACACCCTAAAGAGATTGTACAGACAGAGGCGTATCATAAAGAGAGGTGGTAGAAGAACTGGGCTTCTGATCCTCACGGCGTAGCTCTTTACCAGTCCTTCCAATGACACACCAGGTATCCAATGCCGAATAGCGATCAAGGTTTGATCATGCAGGAAACACATCATCTCCTTATCAGATACATTGCAATGCCTTTATGTTAAGGGCGAGCACAAACCGAGAACCCTTTTCTTGGCATCCTAGGAAGTAAAAGGAATCAAAAGGCCGGAATGAAATTTTAGCAGGGTTTTTGCTGCCTTAACAATCTTGCCTTGTACCTTCTGGGACAGATTTCGATCGTCATTCACCAGGGCAGAATAGCCCTGGACGCACAGTATACTAAACTCTTCACATTGATAGAAAAGAGTTAAATTAACTTTGTTTTCAGATTCATAAGCTTGAGGTATCTCCCTTTAAGAGAGCCAGGCATTCTTCTTTTTAGTGATATTTGCAAACAATTCCTGAGATCCCAAAGCATTTCATACCTCTTTCCCCCCCAGTCATTCTTTCCAATTCCCTTGCAAGGTTAGAACAGTATTATTATCCCCAGGTAGTGCAGATAGAATACTGAGACAAGCCTGGCTTTCCTTTCTGTTAGTTCGTGGCTTAGCTGTTAATCGAACTGGAGGCCTCTAGCTCTTAATACTTGATTATTACCCTCATGCTTCCTCAGTTCTCTGCCCCAAGCTTTGCAGGTTGCAGACTTCTTGGAACCAGGAGATTTGTAAAAACCCACTACAGTTCCAATAAATATTGTATGGAGAAAGGGTTGCCAGGCAACCGGTGGGAGGGTTATGGGGGACAGTGTCCCAGGAGCAAAATTAAAAAGAAAAATAAGGCCTCATCTGATTACAGGATTCCTGGCAATTCCTAGAACTACCTGGAAGTGACAAGGGTAGCTCTAGGAATCGCTAGAAACCTTGTGGTAGTCTTGCTCTATAGTAATTTTACCATAGGTTCCTGGCAATTCCTAGAGGTACCCTTGTCACTTCTGGGTAGCTCTAGGAATTGCCGGGAACCGTATGGTCAGAAGTTCTTGGAAGCAAATAAGGGCTTATTTTTCTTTTTAACTTTTCTCCCCAGAATGATTGCCTCCCCACCTGCATTTGGCCCCAGTGTCCACCTACTAATCAGGTGAGCATCGACGGGCTAGGGCTGAAATTATCTGGGGATCTGCCCCAGTAAGCTGGCAAATGGGAACACCAGTGGCCGCACTTAGACACCATGATGAAATGTGCTTTATGAACCATGGTTTAAAGAAACCTCAGTGGATTTTGTAGACAGCCCAATAAATTAGAATTTCTTGTTTGGAGCTGAACCAGGATTTCAAACTAGGGTTTGTAGCTCGATAGTTAACCCCAGTCAATACTAACTGTGGTTTGTTGTGGCATCCACATTCATTCACAAAGAACAGTTAGTTAAGAAGCACCCCTTCCCAAAGCTGCCTGGCCATAGAGATGGCAAACAGGGAAGAAGTCCTTCCTGAAGGGAAGTGGGCAAGAAACAAACCCACTGTGGTTTATGTATGTTAGCCGTATGTTAGCCGCCCTGAGCCGTTGGGAGGGTGGGATACAAATCTAAAAATAAATGAAAATAAACATGTATAAACCTGGGTTTATTGCTTACGTTTGGTAGACTAATCAGAGTTTGATTCGAGTCCAGTAGCACCTTGGAGACCAAAAAGATTTTTGGGGATTCTCAAAAGCTTATACCCCGAAACCTTTGTTGGTCTCTAAGTGCCCCCGGAGTGGAATATACCTCTAACACAGCTACCCTATGAATCTATTCTCAGAGTTTATTGCACAACCACAATTCAAGTAAAGCACTATTTATCGTGATGAATTTCTTTATTTTATATATTTGTAATATAATACTAGCCTTGACAGGATACTTGCTCAGGACGGCAGGTCTCAGTGCAGCCGGCAGCAATGCAAACCACACATTTTCTAGTCGTAAAAGGACTGTGTTTATTTATTTAAAATATTGATATGTCTGCCCTTCTCTGCAGTGTCTCAGGACCCAAGGCAGATAAAAACAATTTTATAAAAACATTTAACTTTGAAAACGACAGATATAACAACATTGAACTTTGTCTAGAATAAACTTATGCTGCCTGCCTGTGGGTATTACCCCTCTGTCAGGGTTCAGACTACCCCCTAAGGCCCTCTATAACTGCTCTGTTTCACAGCTTGCCAGGAGGGTAGGAGTTCCACTGACCTCTTCCAGGAGGATGCTCTCAAGGCATGGGGCAGCTACTGAAAAGGCTCAGACGGTCTAGGGCTCTACTGGTAGCAGGAGCTCCTTTTCATATTAGGCCACACACCCCTAGTGTAGCCAATCCTCCAAGAGCTTACAGAGCTCTTCTTACTGGGGCTACTGTAAACTCTTGGAGGATTGGCTACACTAGGGGTGTGTGGCCTAATATGAAAAGGAGCTCCTGCTACCAGTAGAGCCCTCAGAACTTTTACTGAGTGCACCTTGGACAAGGGGGGCACTGACAGTAGACACTGTTGGGAAGAAGAAAGCTGCTGCACAGGAACGTCCAGGGAATGAAGGTCCTTCAAGTAATGTGGGCCACAAATTATGAAGGGCTTTAAAGGTGAGCACCAGTATGTTGAATTAGACCCTGAAACAGGCCCATACCTACAGTGGGGCATCTCGGGGCTAGGCCCCCTGACTTCTCATCCAGCCCAGGGCATCACGGCTTTCTCCCTGGATTAATTTAATCAACCAGTGCCCCCTAAGAAATTTAAATGCCCCCTGACTTTAAAAAGTCCTGGCTATGGACCTGCCCTGAAATTATTTGGCAGCCAGGGAAGGGACCTCAGAATAGGATTTATTTACTTATTCAATTTGTTTATACCTCACTTTTCTCCCCAATGGGGACCCAAAGCGACTTACATCATTCTCCTCAACTCCATTTTACCCTCATGACAAACCTGCAAGGTAGGTTAGGCTGGGAGGGTGTGACTGTCCCAAGGTCACCCTGTGGGCTTCTATGGCATGGATTGACATGATTCCCACCCACTAGACCCAGATAACAAATGGATGTGATCAAAGTTTACACCTCTCTGCAACAGAGTTGCCATTCCCCAGTTGGGGATGGGGGAGTCCCCCAGTTTTGTGGGCTCCTGCCCACTACCGGCCAGTTGGCTGGCAAGAGGAAATTCCCCCCCAAACAGTGACATAATCAGAAATAAATGCAACATGCCTATGTCGCCTGGAAGTGACATAGGTATGTCAGTGACGTCGAGGGGGTGTGATGCTCTGGTTTTTTGGGCAAAACTCTATGGTTTGAGGCTGATTTTCGCATAGAGTTTTGTCCAAACCCCAGAGCGTCATCATCAATGTGCCCATGTCACTTCCGGGTGATGTAGGCACCTTGCATGATGTCACTTCTGGTGACGTGGGCACATCATGTGACAATGCTTCCCGCTCCGAGAACATTCCTGCAGACCTTTCACCAGCATTTCTGATGGACCTGGCAATCCTCTACTGAATTCCAGAGTTCAAATGTCAAAACCTGATTTTCAGGAGGAGCACACCAAGTCTGTGGGGAAATTTTTCAGATCTGTGCCACAAGTTTTACTTCCCTAGTTACATTTCTAACCACCAAAGCCCCATATTAGTTTCGAACTGGAATTTGAAATCAAGTCCGTATTTCATAATTGTTCGTTCAACGAATTTTCAACCTGAACAGCTTTGGGTGGGAAATGGACTGGGAGTGATCTATGAGCTGAGTGTCCCCAGTTCCAATCCAACACCTGGGATTCCAGATCTATACTTAAAAAGTCTTGAAGTCCATCAACTGGAAATTCAAACCTAAATGCTTTAGTCCTGTCTTCAGGCAGCAGACATTGCTCTAAAGATCCTGCTGAGGGCATAATTTAGTCCTTAGTCTGCCACAGGGCTTTGGGGGGGGGGGGGGCCAGAACTCTCAAGAAAAAATGAGGTTTTCAATCTGTATACTGAAAATGCACGAATTTTAAAACATTTTAAAAAGAATTTTGTCGAAGAGGTTCCGGAACTCTGTTTCCCCAGAAAAAAAGCCCTGGTCTGCCATCTTTGGACTCTTGTTGAACAAAAAACATGAGCTTAGAACTAATGTCACTGGGCTTGGTACAATCTATGACTTGGTTAAGACATGCTGAGGTAAAATGCTTTGTCAGGCTGAACAGGCCCCAGAGTATAACCCCCAACTGGTAATTTCTTAATGTTTTTAAACCAAGTAACCAATCTGTGGCCCTGTACTGTAGTTTATTTAGATTGTGTCTAAATCCAGCTGCAAATCCAGTCTGCCCTTGGTCTCATCCATACAATCCCATGGTAGGGTCACCGGTTTCCAGATAGGGCCTGGAGATTTCATGGAATTGGAGCTGATCTCTAGGCAAAATAAGCTAGTTCTCCTGGATAAAATGGCTGCTTTGGAGGGCGGACGGTATGGCATTATACCCTGCTGAGGTCCCTCCCCTTCCCATATCCCTTCCTCCTCTGGCTTAGGGTTGCCAAATTTAAAAATCCTACCGGCGGGGGAGCGTCCTGCTGCTCTGGGAGCCGGTTGGGAACGTGTGCGCCGCGCGCGCGCGCCGCCGGAGCATCACCGGAAGTGACGTCACACGCTGGGCGGGGCCACGCCATTTGAGGGGAAAACTCTTTGTTTTCCCCTCAAATGGCGTGGCCCCGCCCCCAGCGTGCGACGTCACTTCCGGTGACACGCACGCCGGGGAGGGGTTTCCCCCGGGCCCCGATTCCCCGGCGTTGGGGAACGGAGCCTCCGGGGCGGGGGATTTCCGCCCTACCGGGGGAGTTGGCAACCCTACTCAGGCTCCACCCTCAACATCTCCAAGTATTTGCCAACCCAGGGTTGGTAAGCCTACTCAAAAGTCATGAAAGGAAAAATTCTGTTTGTTTTTGTCTTATATGGTATACAAAGACCATATCATGGCAGTGTTGTTTTTCAGCCTAGGCTGGGCCATTCACTAAGGGTTGCCAGTTCCAGAATGAGAAATTCCTGGAGATTTGGGGTTGGAGTGTGGGGAGCGGGGAGGGGAGGGACCTCAGCCAGGTATAATACCATAGAGTCCACCCTTCAGAGCAGCCATTTCCTCCTGGGGAACTGTTCTTTGTAGTTTGGAGATCAGTTGAAATTCCAGGAGATCGGCCCCATTTGGAGACCAGCAATCCTAGCCATTCTACATCCTCCAGGGCCAAGTACAGTGTACCCTTCCCCACTCCCTTTCATATGCCCTCACTCCAATATGCCCCTTTCATATGCCCTCA